AACCCTAAACCCTAAACCCTAAACCCTAAACCCTAAAACCCTAAAACCCTAAACCCTAAACCCTAAAACCCTAAACCCTAAACCCTAAACCCTAAACCCTAAAGGACATCATTTCGACTAAGCTAAATTTCATTAGATATCACTTTGATCTTTTTGAAAAGTAAAAGACTCTTTAAAGATACACTAAGAATGTGATATTCAACCAATAAAATAATAGATTGAAGATCAAGAATAAAGGCTCATAAGAGAGAGTGTGGGCAGATAACCATATTAGAGGTCCAGAAGCCTTGGACAAATTCTTTAATCGTGTAGCCTAATGCTTGGATGACTAGTCAATCCAAACCTGGCTAAAGAAATTTTTACATACATGACTTACTGCTAAATGGTCTTCTGTAGGGGCTAAGTTATCCCTTATACATCAAAGATTTGTGTTTTAGTTCTACTCTCTATTTACTACTAGTTCTAAAGAATCTTTCAAAAATGTGGTACTATATAAAAAATATACATTCTAATACTATCAAAGTAAATTCTCCAAACATATATAACGTGTGTAGGCAACATTAATAGACAAAAACAAGAAGAAAAATTTCTCTAAATATTTAATTTTTTTTACCAATCATGCAAAACCAATATCAAAGAAATTGGGCAAGAGTAATTGAGCTTCATGAAACATGCACAATCACTTACCTAAAATTATTCTTAAATGTAGGTAAAAGAATTTAATAGTTTTCTCATGTATAGGAAAATAAGGAAAAAGCTTTGTTCTAATGATTTTTATTTATCTTTAAGAAGTATTGTCAAATGTAACAAATGTTTAGTATAATTAGGAGTGTGTGTTGGGGTATGTTGAAAGTTACATATACGTAGTCTTTCATGATTATGCAATTCAAATTTGTTGTCGACTAGACTTCTCACATCTAGCCATCAATTTTTTTAAATTAGTTGCCTAATATGGTAATATGTCTCACAATATCACATAATATTTAGCACTAGCATTTACCTAATAATTCAGAGATTATTATAATTGTCTGAGTAAAAAAATAACCAAAAACCCTATCATATGCAGCCTTGAAAAAGCTCTTTATGTAAGACTTAAATAGTAGACATTTCTTTTTGGTTTATGCTCTTTGCTGCCTTTAGTCATTTTTAAATTTCAACTTGTACCTTTAATGTTTTTTGTTTTTCTAAACCCTAAACTTTTGTTTATTTATGTGTTTTTAACTTTTTATCGATTATTCGATAAAATAAAATATTTTTGTCACCACTTATTTTGTAGAACTTTTAATGTACTCCGTAATATTTAAATTATAAGATATATTTTTTATTTATATACTGATCTTTAAATTAAATGATTTAAAAAAATGTAAAATTTTACTTCGTTTTACATAAAGTGAAAATGATTATGGGACAAGGGGAGTAGTAAATAATATTTAAAAATGCACAATTATGCAATATGTTGTGTAAAATTAATTATTCTTACCCAGTAAACTCCATAGTCTTATTTTGGAAATAAAAATTTATAATTTAAAAAACACTTAAAAATTAAAATTGTAACATTTTTCTAGTAACATTTTATACTCTGAGGGTAACTTATACTAAAACATTTACTAGGCAAAAAGTTTAGAAACATAAAAAAAATTCTTTTTTAAATCAATGTTTTCAAAGAAAATTAAAACATCTTTTTTCTTAGGACAAATATCAAATTTGTTTCTTTTCCTTAACTTCTTTTATCTTTTCTAAATATAATTTTTTAAGTGGATAGAAATGAAAAGAAACATATTAGTTGAAAAAAACAAAGATGCTAGATAAAAATCAAATGACAAAAGAAGAGTATTTTTAAAGGAAAAAGACTCAAATACAAGAAAAAATGAGAGAAAGTACCAGAATAGAAGAAATTTTTATTCCCATATTAAGAATATAATTACAATATAAAAACAATGTGAAATACTAACATATAGTATCAAATTATCACAATACAAACTCATATTTTGGAATAAAAACATGAAACTCTAGTGGTAATTTCTATTTCCTAATTTTTCTCTGTTTTTCTTCAATATTTGATTTGATTTGTTTACAAACATACCTGCAAACCAATAAAAAGATCAAATATGCTTATGGGCTTGGGCTTTCATTATGGGCTAAAGACTTTCATAAATATATTTAATTTCTGTTTGGGTCAATTCAATTTTCAAGGTAATGACTCAAAGATATTATAAGACTTATCAATTTAATTTTTCCATTAAAAAATGTCCTTAATTGAATCAGGACAGCTTCCATAGATACGGATGTAATGCTAAATTGATGAAATATTGGCAAGAAAATTGGTTCTTGATGATATTTTTTTATAAGAAAAAGTGTTACATATGAAAGTATAAAACCAAAAAATAAAGATTACCTTTTCGAAAATTAAATAGAGGCAAAAGTATGTTATTTGGATTAACATGCTCTGTTAAAATTGTGAATTAACATAATCATTTCTACTGATACTTTTTTTCCTAGAAAAAATGTCATATACAATGCAAAAAAAGAATAACTTCTCAAGATTATTCTGGAGTTATTATTAAAATTCAAATGCTAAGTTGCTGAATTAAAAATATCTACTACTAGTATATCCCATGTTCTATCTTCACTCAAACGTAGCACGGTATAATTGTTTCCCTTGAAACATTGTTATCCAACCAAAGAATTATTTTACTCCATAATTTATTTATAAAAAAACAAAATTACCTCCACTCAATCGCTACTGCCAAGGTCGCGGGAGTGTTGGTTCTGCTGCCTCCGCTGCCCTAGCCGGAGCAAGGGAGATGCAGTTGTTCTCGTAAATCATGCTGTCTCTATGTGGGGACACAGATGCTGCCAAACAGGCGTCTCCATCATTGTTCTCGTAAATCACGCCGACTCTGGGGGTGCCAGGAGGTTTCTGACACTTTTGTGGTCGTCGCCAGCGGGTTGGTCCGCTGAGTTCGCCGGAGGAAGGGAGATGCGTCGGTGGTTCTCATGTACCACGTCGTTGCGGTGAGGGGACACCGGCACAGTTGGGGGACGCCGGGAGGTTTCCCCTCCGCTTTTCTAGTTGTCGCCGGCGGGTTTGCCGGAGAAAGGG